AGGCCTGTCCACAAAGATACATATGCTTTTGCTATTAACCATATTTATGAGTAATGGAGGGAATGCCCTTTCAAATGGGGTAAGACACATTTTTGTTTCCCTTTTGAGCATGACAACTAACAACCCAACCTAGAAACCTTATGTAACTCCAAATCTATAGCAGACAACTGGATACTTCACCTCATTTCTGTAAATATATCTTTAGCAACTGTTTAATTTGTTGTGTGTATGGAAGACATACACTACTATCTACTGCTTTGAGTAGTGTAATTCAGTCATTTCTGTATGAAATGTGAGATCACCATCAGTGCTTGTTGTAATGGTTGGTGGTAATGACTGGTCAAACGAATAGTACGTTGTTACACCTGTGTGTACCAAGCTGGCCATTCACTCATTACTGACCAAATAAGAAAATAAATAAACAAACATAGCCAGCTGGGAAAACCTACACTAACATGGGGTGGTGTTGAACAAAATGTGAACGGTTGGTGGTAACATAAAAATCCCAAGGTTGTGCACAGTGTTTCATTGTGAGGGTATATACAGTGCATTGGAAAGTATTCAGACCCCTTTACTTTTTCCAAATGTTGTTACGTTATAGCCTTATTCTAAAATTTATTAAAATGTTTTTCCCCCCTCATCAATCTACATACAATACCCCATAATGACAAAGGAAAAACAGGTTTTTGAAAATGTTTGCAAATAAAAAAACTGAAATTTCACATTCACATAAGTATTCAGACCCTTTACTCAGTACTTTGTTGAAGCACCTTTGGCAGCGATTACAGCCTCAAGTCTTCTTGGGTATAATGCACAAGCTTGGCACACCTGTATTTGGGGAGTTTCTCTCATTCTTCTCTGCAGATCCTCTCAAGCTCTGTCAGGTTGGATGGGGAGCGTCGCTGCACAGCTATTTTCAGGTCTCTCCAGAGATGTTCGATCGGGTTCAAGTCCGGGCTCTGGCTGGGCCTCTCAAGGACATTCAGAGACCTGTCCCAAAGCCACTCCGGTGTTGACTTGGCTGTGTGCTTAGGGTCATTGTCCTATTGGAAGGTGAACCTTCACCCCAGTCTGAGGTCCTGAGCTCTCTGGAGCAGGTTTTCATCAAGGATCTGTCTGTACTTTGCTCTGTTCATCTTTCCCTCGATCCTGACTAGTCTCCCAGTCCCTGCCGCTGAAAAACATCCCCACAGCATGATGCTGCCACCACCATGCTTCACCGTAGGGATGGTGCCACATTTCCTCCAGACGTAATGCTTAGTATTCAGGCCAAAGAGTTCAATCTTGGTTTCATTAGACCAGAGAATATTGTTTCTCATGGTCTGAGAGTCCTTTAGGTGCCTTTTGGCAAACTCCAAGTGGGCTGTCATGTGCCTTTTACTGAGGAGTGGATTTCTTCTGGCCACTCTACCATAAAGGCCTGATTGGTGGAGTGCTGCAGAGATGGTTGTCCTTCTGGAAGTTTCTCCCATCTCCACAGAGGAACTCTGGAGCTCTGTCAGCGTGACCACCGGGTTCTTGGTCACCTCCCTGACCAAGGCCCTTCTCCCCCGATTGCTCAGTTTGGCCAGGTGGCCAGCTCTAGTAAGAGTCTTGGTGGTTCCAAACTTCTTCCATTTAAAAATGATGGAGGCCAGTGTTCTTGGGATCCTTCAATGCTGCAGACATTTTTTGGTACCCTTCCCCAGATCTGCGCCTCGACACAGTCCTGTCTCGAAGCTCTACGGACAATTCCTTCAACCTCATGGCTTGGTTTCTGCTGACATGCACTGTCAACTGTGGGACCTTATATAGACAGGTTTGTGCTTTTCCAAATCATGTCCAATCAATTGAATTTACCACTGGTGGACTCCAATCAAGTTGTAGAAACATCTCAAGGATGATCAATCAAAACAGGATACACCTGAGCTCAATTTCAAGTCTCATAGCAAAGGGTCTGAATACTTATGTAAATAAGGTAGTTCGTTTTTTTATTTGTAATACATTTTCAAAAAAACCTGTTTTTGCTTCATCATTATGGGGTATTGTTTGTAGATTGATGAGGATTTTTTATTGATTTAATCCATTTTAGAATAAGGCTCTAACGTAACAAAATGTCAAAAAAGTCAAGGGGTCTGAATACTTTCCCAATGCACTGTACATATAACAAAATGTATCTCTATCAAGATTGGAGTCTTCAGGCAAAGTTATACAAATGCAATTGTATTTGGAGTCTTCAGGCAAAGTTATACAAATGCAATTGTATATAAACACAAACAAACACTGGGAGAATTTCTGAGCACAAACTACAACTATACACTAATGTTCTTACATACAGGTCTCACAGATTGTCCAAAGAAACATTTGAGTTCTCTACTAATTTTCGTGATTTAATCCCAGTGAAAAATTGTAGGAGTACAGTAATGAGTGGCCCATGTAGCAGCCCTTGTATGGCTCCCCCGGTTGCAGTTAGACTGACCTCTGCTGGATAAACTGTAGAATGCATTATGAAACTCATACAGCACTCATGTTTTCCCAAAAACAGAATAAATATTAAATCCAGCCAGGCAACTGCAATAAGAGAACAAAAAATTATACAGTTCACATTTTTTTCACTAAAAGTAAAGAGAATGTGACTAAGGTAAAAAAAAAAAAAATCTTAACCAAATAAATAAATGACTTAATTGCATTGCAAAAGAAGATTAAGACGACCAACACCTACAGGAATTCAAACGATGCTTTCTGTCCCGTGTTTGACTGATGTTTCCATAAATGGCTCCATTAAAGGATCAGCTTGGTGTGTTTAGTGCTAAACACACAGGACTCATGTTGAAAGACACATACAGGCTCTTGTTCAGATAACGAACACCACAGAGACAGACAGAGCAGTCCTGAGAGAAGAGCACAAGAGGAGCGGGTCAGGAAGAAAAGAAAAACACAGGGCCGGCCGGCGCTCCGCTCTCCTCCGATGGACCGACTCGCTGGGTGGTTAGTCTGTTTATTTAGTCTGTGGAGGTGATGGGAACAGAGCAGCAGCCACTGCCAATTTTCTTTGCACCGAGAAAATATTCATGTTGACAGCTGGAATCCAGGGCACAGAGTCAAAATGGGCATCCCAAATGGCACCCTATCCCTTTTATAGTGCACTACTTTTGACTAGAGCCTTTTGTAGTGCACTATGAAGGGATATGCTAAATGGCATATTATTATTATTATTATTATTATTATTATGAAGGGAATGGGGTTCTATTTGGGATGCATACAAACAGTCTCAGGGCCAACAGATACAAGACCAAGCTCACATGAAACACAGCTCCAGATTCAAATACCAGCACCATTCAGAGGAATTTGAGAGAAAACAAGGGGATTTGGCAAGGCAATTAACAATTCAGAAGCAGAAATGATCAGTGTTGTGAAATAGTAGAGAAGGGTTTATTAATATGTCTGAAACATGAGCCTATTACCGTTTCAAAATGACAAATAAAAGAAAGTACTGCAACTGCTCGTCACATATCAAATTGTGTGAAGTAATAATGTAGTAGGTCGAGGTTCTCTGCTAATCCACTATACACTGAGTGTACAAAACATTAGGAACACCTGCTCTTTCCACGACAGACTGACCAGGTGAATGCTATGATCCCTTATTGATGTCTTGTTAAATCCACTTCGATCAGTGTAGATTAAGGGGAGGAGACAGGTTAAAGAAGGATTTTTAAGCCTCGAGACAGTTGAGACATGGATTGTGTGTGTTCCATTCAGAGGGTGAATAGGCAAGACAAAAGATTTAAGTGCCTTTGAACTGGATGTTAGTAGGTGCCAGGCGCACCAGTTTAAGAGTGTCAAAAACTGCAACCCTGCTGGGTTTTTCCACACTCAACCGTTTCCTGTGTGTATCAAGAATGGTCCACCACCCAAAGGACATCCAGCCAACTTGACACAACTGTGGGAAGCATTGGAGTCAACATGGGCCAGCATACCTGTGTACCGCTTGACACCTTGTAGAGTCCATGCCCCGACGAATTGAAGCTGTTCTAAGGGAAAGGGGGGGAGGGGGGGTGGTGCAACTCAGTATTAGGAAGGTGTAAAACTGAATAAATGTGCCTTTATAAAACCGGCTATACTTCTCACTATAGAGAGCACCAATCACACTGTTGGAGATCTGTTCCTGATAGCTCTATTTTATAGTAAAAAGGGAGCTGCCAAACGACTGAGGCAAGCAGATGAAAGGGCGCAAAAAACTGGAAATTCAATTCTGAAACTAGTGTTGTGGCACAACGCAAGATGGACATCAAGAATGAGGCCGATAATAGATGTGACCATGAGCCATAGTTGATGTGGTTACGTGCGGTCCGTGTACCAAATTATTTTCTATAAAAATAAAAAAAACTCAAAAAGCAGAGCAGCATGTCATCACGAATAAGGAAAGAATAACCAGAAACCGCTGTGCTCGTTAACCATTATTTAGATGCAGAGTTCAAAGAAAAGTTCACGTTTGCGGTATACAAGGCCATTGGAAAGTGTTTCGCATAGCGCTTGCCTGTGAAAATGGGCAGACTGCTTGTTGGGGGAGGGTTGGTTTGGGGGAAGGGAGGAGAATACCACCCAGTGAGATGGGGGCTGGGGTTGCGCTCATAGGAAACAGTTGTGCTGCCTACAAGGCCTCACACTATGCAGTGGGGCCACCCAGATGCAGGCAGAATTTGTTTATTTTTATCCTTTGGGGAAAATTGTTCAGTGTGAGATGTTTATTAGGGCTTTGATTTGTCATGTGTAAACCTTTGCTTGCAGGGTGTGTGTATACACAAGTTGGAATTGTGTATAGTAGAGGTTTGGGGTCAAGAAGGAGAAAGGAAAGGAGGAAAGCCCCCACACTGAGTGCTAGGCAGAGGTGCATGGGTCATCCTCCAGCTGTCTCTGTTGATGTCATAGGGCTAGAATGCAGCTCCGGGGTAGGGCATGTGTACAAACACAGGGAAACATTTAAAACTACTTAAACAAAATAAACATGAGAACACAAGCATCAGGCAAATGGTTGGTTGGTTGATAAATGCAACAAAATAACATTACGTTAAGGATGACATATCAATAGGAATACGTTTAATAAAAAAACTTACACTCAAATAATTTCAAAGCTGGACAAATTTTCATTTTGTATACAAATACATTGAAAACATGAATTGTTAACATTCTTTCATGGACATCTATGGTATGTAGTGAGAGGCTTTACATGTTAGAGGTAATGTTTTATTTATTTTGCCATTCATTAAAGTTAGCGGAATTGAATTTATGCCCAATTGAACCCTTGCACAATAGTTAATGCATGATAAAACATTCACAACTCAATGGTACTTTTAATAGCACCATATTTCCAAGTGAACAAGTTGAGTGGCTGTCCCTCTCAGCAATAACCTGATTTGGGCGACAGCCTTGCCAGTCGCTCGCCATCGATGGCAGATTGCAATGCCAGGACTGTGTCTGTCAACAAGAGTAAGCCAAGGCCACAAAGTTAGAAAATCTAGAGGGCACACCTGGGACCAACATTGGCTTTAGATCTCAGGTTAGGCTAATGGAATTAGAAAAGTAACTCAGGTTAGGCTAATGGAATTAGAAAAGTAACTGGTTCCTCAACACATTCACATACCCAGTAATTTTCTTGCGTAGTCCACAATATCTGTCACCCCAGCCTCAATGTCATATGATGGCATCTCCATTGGCTTGAGAAAATCACTGGCCCTCTGTACAACACATAAGAAAACAAAGACATATGAAACTTACCCATTCAATACAGTCATTTGAAGTGTCAAATATTTTATTACATTTCAATTCAAGCCAAAAATTGGTGCTGTTATAATTTCAGAATGTCAGAACTTTATATTCATCTCCACCATGTGAAAATGACACGTTTCTATGTTTTTTGTTAAAAAAGATAAGTGTTTCCAATGACATCAACCAATTAGTAGGCAATACCTACTCATAATTGTTTTTTTTTAATCACACGATGCACACCAATGATGTCATTGCAAACACTTATCTTACTCTCTCTTTTTTTACTACAAAAAATAGAAAAGCACAATTTTCACATACGTTGATGTTGGGGTGGTGCTGGAGATTGTGAATATGAAGTTGACATTTTTGGGAATTTCCCTTTAACATGAGGTGAGAAAAAAAAAGCTAGGTATACCGTCAACTCCTCATGCACTCTCTCCTCCAGCTCAGACACCTGGGAAATGGCCTCATACATGTCGGTCATGGGCACAATGGAGTCCTGCAAACAAGACTGGGAGTTAATATTCTTGAAGGCATCACTGTCTAGTGTCCACTTGAGTACTTGATACTATGTCAGACTGAAGACCAGGAAGTATCTAGTACCATCTCTTTAAAGTGACATATTTTCAGTGACAAGCAACTAAACAGGGGCTGCATCTGAAATGGCACCCCACCTCCTAGTCAGGGCCTAAAATTAACACACGACACTGCAAAATGCAGGTCGAATTTGGCATTGGTGGGTAAAATGTCTATTTCACCAGCAACATTGGCAGGTGGTCAGGGCTCCACAGTGTGCACTTCATTCGCATTTGTGAATAAAAATAGTAAAGTATGATCACATTTATAGTCAAATTAATGCTGCAGTAGCTGTTTTCAAAGTATTTCTGCAGTTTTGTTTCATAGCTGATAAATTAAATTGCACAAAGTCAAAGAAGTACGAATCCTATAGCATATCCCACCTCACGCTGCAACACTGCCTGGCTGGGGGCCGTGCGCAGGTTAAGAGCTGAGCAGAGGCATAAAAGTTGGCTTTTTTGGCTATTTAAATTGTTTTGTTCACAAGCTAGGTTGTTTTTCAATGTTTGAGTTTCAACTGCTAGGGAAGAGAAGACAACGCTGCTACTAGTCAGACAATCTCACAGGCACAAACATGACTAACAATTGTAACCGCCCAACCTTAAAGGGGAGGTGAACATTTGTCTCATCTGTGATATTTTGGTTAAGACTCACATCACAAAAAATGAAATGAAATTAAAACAATATACCACATTACTTCTTAGTAGTAATACATTTATTGTTTTCGAAACATTACAAAGCATGCTCATCCATTTGTGTTTTGTTTGTGTAATTTCAGCGACATTCTTATTCTATTTTGGCTGGTAAAAAATCTGAGTGGTGGGTAGATTTTTTATCTAACTGCCACAGTGGCTGGCGAACCAAAAAGCACTACTTTATCACACCCAAGGTCTTTCGATCTCACCTCCTCTGAGGAGCTGTTCTCCACTTCCATCTCATCAATCTTCTTGGGAAGATCAGCATCATTCACCCTGGATGTCCCGTTCAGTCCCTTCGCTCTATGACAAGGAACAAAATACATAAGAAACATTTACCACTGAAAATCAACAACAACATACTTACTATCCATTCATGGGTTTGAGTGTACCTGTCTGCATAGCGTAGTGTGTTTAGAGTGTAATCGCATGAGGCCATTCCAGGAGACACCATAGCAATCTGGAACATAAGAAAACCAATAAACATTATAGCCGATATTAAGTATAGGGACAAAGTGGAGGAGCAATTCAGCGGGTCGAATAAGAGGCGTATGTGGCAGGGGCTCCTAACGATCACAGATTACAAAAAGAAAGCCAGCCACGTCACGGACACTAACGCCGCCCTACCAGATGAGCTAAACACCTTATTCCCCACGCTTCGAGCACAACGACGACTGAGCGGACAAGGAGAGCCCCTGAGGACAACAAGGGTTACGTACTTACGGTCTCCACAGAGGACCTGTGTAAGTCATTCAAACGTGTTAACCCTCGTAAGGCTGCCGGCCCAGACGGCATCCCTAGCCACGCCCTCAGAGCATGTGCAGACCAGCTGGCTGTTGTGTTTTCGGACATTTTCAATCTCTCTAGCTCAGGCCGCTAACCCCACCTGCTTCAAGATGTCCACTATCATCCCCGTGCCCAAGAAAGGGAAAGTAACTGAATGACTAGCGACCCGTAGCACTCACTCACTTCATCATGAAGTGCTTCAAGAGGCTAGTCAAAGACCACATCACCTCTTCCCTCCCCGACACACTCAACCCGCTCCAATTCGCCTACCGCCCGACAGATTCACGGACGATGCAAATGCCATTGTACTGCACATTGCCCTCACCCACCTGGACAAAAGGAATGCATTTGTGAGGATTCTGTTCATCGACTACAGCTCGGCCTTCAATACCATAGTGCCCTCTAAGCTTAACACAAAGCTCACGGCCCTGAACTCCTCCCTATGCAACTGGGTCCTGGACTTCCTGACAGGCCACCCCCTAGGTGGTGAAGGTAGGCAACATTACCTCTTCCACACTGATTCTCGCTGACGACATGACAGTAGTAGGCCTGATTACCAACAATGACGAGACTGCCTACAGGGAGGATGTGAGTACTCTGACGGCGTGGTGCCAGGTAAAAAAAACCTCTCCTTAAAGTCAGAAATACAAAAAGGAGCTTATTGTGGACTTCAGGAGGAACAAGGCTAGGCACGCCCCCTTCCTCATCAACGGAGCCACCATGGAGACTGTCAAAAATGTACGCTGAGGAACTTGACATCTCCAAGGAGCTGAAATGGTTAAACCACACACACACTGGTGAAGGCAAGACAGTGACTCTTCAACCTCATGATGCTGAAAAAATGTGGCCTGTCTCCAAACTGTCGGGCTGCATCACACTGGTACGGCAACTCCACCGGCGCGGACTGCAAGGTGCTACAGAGGGTGGTATGCTCAACCGTACACACCCTTGGGTGCACACTGCCTGCCCTCAGGACACCTACACCACCAGGGGTCGCAGGAAGGACAAAAGGATCATCAGGGACCCCAGCCACGGCCAGTTCTCCCCGTTTCCATCATTCAGACGCAGGCAGTATAGGAGCATCATGGCAAAAACTGTAAGACTGGCCAATAGCTTGTACACCCAGATCAGGCTGCTGAATAGACACCACTAGTCAGCTACCTGCTCCCACTGTCCCCCTCCTGCCACCCCAGACTTCCTACCCCCCCCTAATAATAAGACATTTTTCAGACTGTGCCTCTAGACCTAAAGCCCAAAGAAAGGAGGAGGAGTCAAGCCTTACCATGCATGTCCTGGAGTTCTCTCCGATGAAGGAATCTCGGAGCACCTGTGTCAGCTTGCTCATCCTGAAGGGTATGTGGTGGCTGTCCATCCCCAATGAGCGAATACATTCCTACAGGGAGAGGAGGAAGCAAGCAAGCAGCGTTCAAACCAGCATTTCGCAAACTAGGGGTCGCGACCCCACACAAGAGAAACTGAAATTAAAAAAAGAACGCTTGGTTCATAGAACCGGGGTTACGTCAGTAACCTCTGGTAGCCACTAGATGCAGTTGTAATAAACAGAGTGGTTTCAGTTTTCTTCCTACAAATGTGGCTCTATCCTTTGAACCGTTTAAACTACAAAGTATTATGATCCCACCACTGAAAGACACGACTCTCAGGAACATGTATAAGCCTTCTGTTTCCCTCCACAATGCCCACAAGCCGCAGGATTCATTAGAACAGAGTTGACAAGACCAGGCACTAAATCAGACTGGGAAAAAGAACAATGACGTTGTTTTCTACACATTATTGCCTGATGATCTTCTGAACTTCCCAATACCTTTCTGATGCATTTCAGTCTCTTCAAACCATACCTCCTTCAGATTGAAATACTGTCAAAAGTACTCAGACTGATTTGTAATAGAATAATATGCCCAATTAAAAAAGTAAATGTCGATTACTTTTTTTGTTATTATTATTATACATTGATAAAAAAATGTACATGGTGGCGTCGCGGAAAAAAAGTGATATCAAAACGGCGTCGCGGGCCAAAAAAGTTTCAAAAAAGGTTATTTTGAGGTCACAAGATATTGTTACATTGATACACTGTTGACATTGCCTACACATTTCTGAAGGCTTATGCTGTATATAGAGGTGGTTCATACCTGCTATATGATCAGGGTCATATTCTCTAGGCATAAAACTGAAGAAAACGGACTGCAACAGAGGGACTAACTGAACATGTCCAATTAGAAACACCTGTTCCCATTTTCTGTTGCAAAACATTTTGCTACGGTGTGTTCACTAATGAATACGACCCAGGTAAAGGGAGGTCTAAAGAGTGAGAATAGAAGGACAGTAGACAGTAGTTGTATTCACCTTGAGAGCCAGCAGGCTGCGGTTGATCTCGGCCGTCTCTACGAGGGTTTGTCTGTCGTTGCTGCTGACGTCTGTGCCCCTTTCGTTCCCCGCCAGGTCCACCAGGGAGAACTTTCCGTGCAGCTTGTTCCTCCTCCGCAGGATCACCTGCAGGATGGCGTGGGAGCGAGACGAGTTGGCGTTGGCGGACGTCTGGCCAGACGTCCTGAGAAAGATGCATCAGATCGTCGTCACAAATAAATCACTATGCACTTACACTTTAAAATAAGTTGTATTGATCCTTTTTTGTTTCTGGAGGACTCTATAGGGCTTTAGTATGCTAAAGTTAGATGAGATATTCATATTTGTCAAAATACAAAACAGGAACAGAAGACAACACACTTGCTAGACAGGGGGAGGGAAAACCAGGGGTCTGTTCAGGAGGGCGCAACGTTCCAAAATGTACAGTGTAGACAAGATATGATTGTGTGTCAAGCAGAATAGGGAATCCTGTCAGCTCTACTAATTCCATGTATATCTGTAACGTTTTGAATGTTTCACCTCACTGAATACACTCCGGGTGGAGTCAAAACAACATATGTACCTGCATGCACTGCCCATCTCAATCATCTTGATGACGTCTTCAGCACACGACACGTACATCTCCTGCAGGCCGACCACCTGGACCTGTTGTTTCTCATCCTCTAGCACTCTCAGCTTGGCCTTCTTGTTCAGCAGATCAAACACCTGCATATGGGAAGCCAAGTGTTAGTAGTGCTCTGGTCAAAAGTAGTTCACTATATAGGTTGCCATTTGGGACACAACCTTAGTCATATCTAAAATTAGTCTAAACTTCTGTTCCAATCATGATGGATTCTCCACCAACAACAAAACATTTCTACCATCCAAATCACCAAGCTGCTTGAGGAGTACTACGAGTGCTTCCTTCTCACCTTGCCGTTGTAGATCTCAAAGAAGGTCACATAGGGGCACAGGTCCTGACTGGAATATCTCCTCTGCTTCAGAAGGGTGAACACATCCTGAGCTAAAGAACAAGTAAGAGGAACAAGAAGTTACAAGACACTGAAAGACATCATGGAAGTATCGCCTAAGTAAAGGTTATGTACAGTGCATTCGGAAAGTATTACGACCCCTTGACTTTTTCCACATTGTTACGTTACAGCCTTATTCTAAAATGAAATGTAGTTTTTTTTGGTGAAAAAAATCACTCAATCTACAGACAATACCCCATAATGACGAAGCAAAAACTGGTTTTTAGAATTGTTTTCAAATGTAAATAAATAAAAAAAACGGAAATCACATTTACATAAGTATTCAGACCCTTTACTCAGTACTTTGTTGAAGCACCTTTGGCAGCAATTACAGCCTCGAGTCTTCTTGGGTATGACGCTGCAAGCTTGGCACACCTGTATTTGGGGAGTTTCTCCCATTCTTCTCTGCAGATCCTCTCAAGCTCTGTCAGGTTGGCTGGGGAGCGTCGCTGCACAGCTATTTTCAGGTCTCTCCAGAGATGTTCGATCTGGTTCAAGTCCGGGCTCTGGCTGGGCCACTCAAGGACATTCAGAGACTTGTCCAGAAGCCACTCCTGCATTGTCTTGGCTGTGTGCTTAGGGTTGTTGTCCTGTTGGAAGGTGAACCTTCACCCCAGTCTGAGGTCCTGAGCGCTCTGGAGCAGGTTTTCATCAAGGATCTCTGTACTTTGCTCCGTTCATCTTTCCATTGATCCTGACTAGTCTCCCAGTCCCTGCCGCTGAAAAACATCCACACAACATGATTCTGCCAGGTTTCCTCTAGATGTGACGCTTGGCATTCAGGCCAAAGAGTTCAATCTTGGTTTCATCAGACCAGAGAATCTTGTTTCTCATGGTCTGAGAGTTCTTTAGGTGCCTTTTGGCAAACTCCAAGCGGGCTGTCATGTGCCTTTTACGGAGGAGTGGCTTCCTTCTGGTCACTCTACCATAAAGGCCTGATTGGTGGAGTGCTGCAGAGATGGTTGTCCTTCTGGAAGGTTATCCCATCTCCACAGAGGAACTCTGTCAGAGTGACCATCAGGTTCTTGGTCACCTCCCTGACCAAGGCACTTCTTCCCCGATTGCTCAGTTTGGCCGGGCAGCCAGCTTTAGGAAGAGTCTTGGTGGTTCCAAACTTCTTCCATTTAGGAATGATGGAGGCCAATGTGTTCTTGGGGACCTTCAATGCTGCAGAAAGGTTTTGGTACCCTTCCCCAGATCTGTGCCTTGACACAATCCTGTCTTGGAGGTCTACGGACAATTCCTTCAACCTCATGGCTTGGTTTTTGCTCTGACATGCACTGTCAACTGTTGGACCTTATATAGACAAGTGTATGCCTTTCCAAATCATGTCCAATTAATTTAATTTACCACAGGTGGACTCAAATGAAGTTGTAGAAACATCTCAAGGATGATCAATGGAAACAGGATGCACCTGAGCTCAATTTCGAGTCTCATAGCAAAGGTTCTGAATACTTATGTTAATAAGGTATTTCTTTTTTTATTTGTAATACATTAGAAACATTTCTAAAAACCTGTTTTCGCTTTGTCATTATGGGGTAGTGTGTAGATTGATGAGGGAAAAAAATAATGTAATACATTTTAAAATAGAGCTGTAGCGTAACAACATTTTTAAAAAGGGAAGGGGTCTGAATACTTTCCGAATGCACTGTACGTATAACATTTCCGTACATAAAAAAAAAGGGTATCTAAAATGTGAGGTGGATAGATCTATTTTGTAGTATTGCCCTCAGAAATATCAAAATACTTATAGAAAATAATCAAAAGGGATAACTAAGCCAATATTGTAATGTTGATGCCAATAGAAAGTAGGCATAATCAATTACCCGCCAAGGCATAGATCCCTTTGGAGCTATTCTGGCTCTTCCCTGAAAAATCTCCTCCCATTGTCTGAATAGGGTAAAAGATGGGTAAAATGTTACATGAGACAGTACTGCTATAGTGTCAACCTGACAGGTAAAGGGAAAGACTTACATGAGTTTTACCACTTCCAGTTTGTCCGTAAGCAAAACAAGTTGCCATCCCTCCGTCAAAGATGGTCTGGACAAGAGGCTTGGCGGTAAACCTATCATTAACAAATACAAGTATGTGATTGTCTTGCAAAAACAAGTAATGGTGATACAACCAACAAACTTCATACAAGAGAACATACTTGCAAAAGGGTATTTGAACAGAAAGTTTTAAAAAAAAAATCTGCAAATAATAGTAAAATAACCCTGATAGAGAAAACAAACTGAACATAATATTGTTTAGAAAACAATAAAAAGTGAATACCTGTACACTAAGTCATTGGTGGATGACTCGTCAAAGGAGTAGTCAAAATGGAAGACCTGGTTGTCCAAGTATTTGGTCAGGTCCACTTTCTGCTTGGGTTCATGAACGAGCAGCGTTCCATTACCAGGGATAGTCACCACATCAATTTCTTTCTTGGTCACCTCTAAGACAGTCACACATAGAAACTCAACATTAGAATGGACCCAAGAAGCAGGGTGATGATACAAGGAGTGAGTTAAAACGTTCTTAGTTTAGACAATTAAGCATACCTTTATTGTTGAGAGGACGCTTGCGAACACACACACAAATTCTATGAGCTTCAACCTGTTGACCAAAAATAATAATTTAAGATATATTCTCAAATATAATCACTAATTATAAATGCCCTTCCACATTTCAACACTTGTTCATCTTACCGTATCAGATGGAGATAAAGGAAGTACTTCCAAGGTCTCTCTGAAGTCTTCAATCATCTGGTAAAACTGCTTGTTCGGTCGGTTTGTGTCTCCAAACTACAGGAAGCAGAAATACATGTATAAGAGAAGTGATAAACTGTTGGGTCTGTAGTATTTCAAAATATTTGTGTAAATGCTTTCACTGTGCTGGCAACTTCAAATGCATAAAAATGAATTGGGGTGAATTGACAGTAAGTTAGCTATAGACCTACTGGTCTGCATCTACATGAAAGCTCATTTCCACAGGACAATAGTACCATGTAAACATTATACAATGTCTCATACCTTTCCCTTCTTGGGAACCATGTCATAGCTCTTGACTGCATGGGACAATCTTTTGTTCACTGGTTTGCTCATGTCTTGGGGTAGCACGGATCTCCGTCTGTCTGAAAGAGTGAAGATATCAAATGTGATGAATGATGCTCACGAAGATAGCAGGGCGTCTCAGTCTAGAATCAGGTCCCCTTGTCCATTTAATGTCTTATTAATTGTGATCTAGAAGGCAAAACTGATCGTAGATCAGCATTCCTCTTCTGAGACTATTTATGAATACAGGTCCAAAGCGATAAACATAGTGATTTGTGTGACTCAAAGTTCCTAAAGCTCACTTGAGGTGACTGAGGAGACACTCTTGGCTTCATTCTCCTTCAGGGCCTCATTGACTGGCGGCAGGACAACAGTCTGTCTCTGATCGTTCCTCTTCCCCTCTCGGTTGGGCACACCTGGAAAATGAAGCATGTTGAATATCAAGAAGACACAGAGGGAAATAATTATGAGGGTAATGGAATTAATTATTTGAATAACAGTAAGAGATATAGCCTGAGCGCCAGTCGGTTTGTGCCATCATGCCAACTCCGTCACTCGACAATGACATCAATGGAGTTGGCAAGAGCACAAACAGATCTGGGGCCAGCCTATAAAGGATAGGCAAGAAATCAGAAATCAAATCTTATTTGCCACATGTGCTGAATACAACAGGTGTAGACATTAGTGAAATGCTTACAAGCCCTTAACCAACAATGCAGTTAAGAAAATTTTAAAATTTGAAAAATTACATGTGTTAAGTCAAAAATAGATAAGTCAAAAGTAAAAAATAGCAAATAATTAAAGAGCAGCAGTAAAATAAAATAACAGTAGGGAGGCTATATACAGGGGGCACCGGTTAGTCGAGGTAATTGAGGAAATATGTACATGTGGGTTGAGTTAAAGTGACTATGCATAAATAATAAACAGAGTAGCAGCAGCGTAAAAGGGGGGGGGGGGGGGGGGGGGGGGGCAATGCAAATAGTCCGGATAGCCATGATTAGCTGTTCAGGAGTCTTATGGCTTGGGGGTAGAAGCTGTTAAGAAGCATTTTGGACCTAGACTTGGCGCTCCGGTACCGCTTGCCGTGCGGTAGCAGAGAGAACAGTCTATGACTAGGGTGGCTGAAGTCTTTGATAATTTTTAGGGCCTTCCACTGACACCGCCTGGTATAGAGGTCCTGGATGGCAGCAAGCTTGGCCCCAGTGATGTACTGGACAGTACGCACTACCCTATGTAGTGACTTGTGGTCGGAGGCCGAGCATTTGCCACACCAGGCGGTGATGCAACCAGTCAGGATGCTATCGATGGTGCAGCTGTAGAACTTTGAGGATCTGAGGACCCATGCCAAATATTTTCAGTCTCCTGAGGGGGAATAGGCTTTGTTGTACCCTCTTCACAACAGTCTTGGTGTGTTTGGACCATGATAGTTCGTTGGTGATATGGACACCAAGAAACTTGAAGCTCTCAACCTGTTCCACTACAGCCCTGTCGATGAGAATGGGGGCGTGCTTAGTCCTCTTTTTCCCCCCTGTAGTCCACAATCATCTCCTTTGTCTTGATCACGTTGAGGGAGAGGTTGTTATCCTGGCACCACACGGCCAGGTCTCTGACCTCCTCCCTATAGGCCGTCTCATCGTTGTCGGTGAGCAGGCCTACCACTGTTGTGTCGTCGGCAAACTTAATGATGGTGTTGGAGTCGTGCCTGGCCATGCAGTCATGGGTGAACAGGGAGTACAGGGGGGGACTGAGCACGCACCCCTGTGGGGCCCCTGTGTTGAGAATCAGCGTGGCAGATGTGTTGTTACCTACCCTTACCACCTGGGGGCGGCCCGTCAGGAAGTCCAGGATCCAGTTGCAGAGGGAGGTGTTTAGTCCCAGGGTCCTTAGCTTAGTGATGAGCTTTGAGGGCACTATGGTGTTGAACGCTGAGCTGTAGTCAATGAACAGCATTCTCACGTAGGTGTTCCTCTTGTCCAGGTGGGAAAGGGCAGTGTGGAGTGCAATAGAGATTGCATCATCTGTGGATCTGTTGGGGCGGTATGTAAATTGGAGTGGGTCTAGGGTTTCTGGGATAATGGTGTTGATGTGAGCCATGACCAGCCTTTCAATCACAAAATGAGAAGCAACCCCCACCTGAAGCTTTGAGGACAGAAGGTGGATACTCTGAAGACAGGAAGTCTTGTTTAGTCTTAGCAGGCTCAGAGATTGGAGGAGGGGGCCGGAACAAGCATGTCTGCCGTATGGACTTTCTGGGAAGTGGAACTGAGAAGAAGAGAATACATTTAGCATAACACCTTTACCACTACAGTTGAATGAAGTAGTCTTGGTATGATTAATAACGCTTGTTCATCATCCTTCTGATCCCAACACTAGACACTAAACACTAAACCATAGAAATATAATGATTTCTATTTAGGCCTAGTAAACAGCTGGCCAGCTCCTTTACCACCACTAATCCTCTATGTGTGTTCAATTTTAGCTGGGTGAATCAGGCATGCCATAAGCCACGTCAAACTCATTCCAAGGAGGGCCGAGTGTCTGTGGGTTTTTGATCCACCATTGTACTTGATTGATGAATTAAGGTCACTAATTAGTAAGGAACTTCCCTTTGTTGAACAAGTTGAGGAGACTAAATTACTTGGTGTTACCTTAGATTGTAAACTGTCATGGTCAAAATATATAGATTCAATGGTTGTAAAGATGGGGAGAGGTCTGTCCATAATACTTTGACACCACACTCCAAAAAGCAAGTCCTGCAGGCTCTAGTTGTCTTATCTTGATTATTGTTCAGTCATGTGGTCAAGTGCTGCAAAGAAAATACCTAAACTCAGCAAATAAATAAACTTCCTCTCACTGTCAACTGCGTTTACTTTCAGCAAACTTAACATGTGTAAATATTTGTATGACCATAAGATGATTCAACAACAGACAAACTGAACAAGTTCCACAGACTAACAGAAATTGAATAACGTGTCCCTGAACAAAGGGGGGGGGGGGGGGGGGGGGGGGGTCAAAATCAAAAGTAAGAGTATCTGGTGTGGCCACCAGCTGCATTAAGTACTGCAGTGCATCTCCTCCTCATGGACTGCACCAGATTTGCCAGTTCTTGCTGTGAGATGTTACCCCACTCTTCCACCAAGGCACCTGCAAGTTCCCAGACATTTCTGGGGGGAATGGCCCTAGCCCTCACCCTCCGATCCAACAGGTCCCAGACGTGCTCAATGGGATTGAGATCCGGGCTCTTCGCTGGCCATGGCAAAACATTTCATGTCCAGCCTCTCTCGGACAGTCTGAGCACTGATGGAGGGATTGTGCGTTCCTGGTGTAACTCGGGCAGTTGTTGTTGCCATCCTGTACCTGACCCGCAGGTGTGATGTTCGGATGTACCGATCCTGTGCAGGTGTTGTTACACGTGGTCTGCCACTGCGAGGACGATCAGCTGTCCGTCCTGTAGCGCTGTCTTAGGCATCTCACAGTAGGGACATTGCAATTTATTTCCTTGGCCACATCTGCAGTCCTCATGCCTCCTTGCAGCATGCCTAAGGCACGTTCACGCAGATGAGCAGGGACCCTGGGCTTCTTTTTTTTGTGTTTTTCCAGAGTCAGTAGAAAGGCCTCTTTAGTGTCCTAAGTTTTCATAACTGTGACCTTAATTGCCTACCGTCTGTAAGCTGTTTGTGTCTTAACGACTGTTCCACAGGTGCATGTTCATTAATTGTTTATGGTTCATTGAACAAGCATGGGAAACAGAGTTTCAACCCTTTCCAATGAAGATCTGTGAAGTTATTTGGATTTTTACAAATTATCTTTGCAAGACAGGGTACTGAAAAAGGGACGTTTCTTTTTTTGCTGAGTTTAGTTAACCTCTTAAGGATCGGACCCTTTTCTTCCAATTTTCATCTAAAATGACATACCCAAATCTAACTGCCTGTAGGTCAGGACCTGAAGCAAGGATATGCATATTCTTGATACCATTTCAAAGGAAAAACATTGAAGTTTGTGGAAATGTGAAATTTATGTAGGAGAATATAACACAGAGCCGGTAAAAGATAATACAAAAAAACAACATGCGTTTTCTATTTATTTATTCCATCATCTTTGAAATGCAAGAGAAAGGCCACAATATATTGCAGTTTAGGCACAATTTAGATTTTGGCCACTAGATGGCAGCAGTGTGCGTGCGCAAAGTTTCAGATTGATCCAGTGACGCGTTGCAATACTGGACTATTTTGTATCAAGTCTGGCCACATATGCCGAATTGGTCAACTGGTACATTTTCCAAGTACATAACTATAGAGAACATACAAAAATGATATGGTAATACAAAATGTAAATTTACACACTCCCAGGAATGTCATACATGATGGATCATTAGCTTATACACTAACTTTCACACATCTAGTTGGCCGGGCGGGGTGGGTGTGGAGCCAGAGACAGCAGGGGTTCAAACTGTAGAACCCAGTTCCTACATTTGAATATAAAATTGATTTTATCAAACAAAACTATGCTAAATGTTATCTCTGGGACCCTTAGGATGACAAATCAGAGCAAGATTACTGAACGTAAGTACATTATTTACCTTCAGAGGTGAATGTATCAAACCAATTGCCGTGATACGTTTTTTTGTTGTTGTGCACTCTCCTCAAACAATAGCATGGTATTTTTTCAATGTAATAGCTATTGTAAATTGGACAGTGCAGTTAGATTAACAAGAATGTAAGCTTTCTGCCCATATATGACATGTCTATGTCCTGGAAAGTTTGCTGTTACTTACAACAGTCATGCTAATCACATTAGCGCACGTTAGCTCAACCGTCCTGTATACGGGACACCGATCCCGTAGAGGTTAAACTGCAGCTAGCCCAGAACAGAGTGGCACGTCTTGCTCTTCATTGGAATCAGAAGGCTATTATAAATAATATGCATGCCAGTCTCTCCTGGCTAAAAGTTGAGGAGAATGACTGCATCACTTCTTTTTATAAGAAACGTTGTGTGGAAAATTCCAAATTGTTTACATAGTCAACTTATACACGGCTCTGACACACACACTTACCCCACCAGACATGCCACCAGTCAGCCACCAATTGTGCAAGTTCTCCCACTTAAAAAGGATGAGGCGCCTGTAATTTTCATCATAGGTACACGTCAACTATGACAGACAAAATGAGAAAAAAATGATCCAGAAAATCACATCGTAGGATTTTTAATGAATTGATTTGCAAATTATGGTGGAAAATAAGTATTTGGTGAATAACAAAAGTTTCTCAAAACTTTGTTATATACCCTTTGTTGGCAATGACACAGGTCAAACATTTTCTGTAAGTCTTCACAAGGTTTTCACACACTGTTGCTGGTATTTTGGCCCATTCCTCCATGCAGATCTCCTCTAGAGCAGTGATGTTTTGGGGCTGTCGCTGGGCAACACGGACTTTCAACTCCCTCCAAAGATTTTCTATGGGGTTGAGATCTGGAGACTGGCTAGACCACTCCAGGACCTTGAAATGCTTCTTACGAAGCCACTCCTTCGTTGCCCGGGCGGTGTGTTTGGGATCATTGTCATGCTGAAAGACCCAGCCACGTTTCATCTTCAATGCCCTTGCTGATGGAAGGAGGTTTTCACTCAAACTCTCACGATACATGGCCCCATTCATTCTTTCCTTTACACGGATCAGTCGTCCTGGTCCCTTTGCAGAAAAACAGCCCCAAAGCATGATGTTTCCACCCCCATGCTTCACAGTAGGTATGGTGTTCTTTGGATGCAACTCAGCATTCTTTGTCCTCCAAACACGACGAGTTAAGTTTTTACCAAAAAGTTATATTTTGGTTTCATCTGACATTCTCCCAATCCTCTTCTGGATCATACAAATGCACTCTAGCAAACTTCAGACGGACTGGACATGTACTGGCTTAAGCAGGGGGACACGTCTAGCACTGCAGGATTTGAGTCCCTGGCGGCGTAGTGTGTTACTGATGGTAGGCTTTGTTACTTTGGTCCCAGCTCTCTGCAGGTCATTCACTAGGTCCCCCCGTGTGGTTCTGGGATTTTTGCTCACCGCTCTTGTGATCATTTTGACCCCACGGGGTGAGATCTTGCGTGGAGCCCCAGATCGAGGGAGATTATCAGTGGTCTTGTATGTCTTCCATTTCCTAATAATTGCTCCCACAGTTGATTTCTTTAAACCAAGCTGCTTACCTATTGCAGATTCAGTCTTCCCAGCCTGGTGCAGGTCTACAATTTTGTTTCTGGTGTCCTTTGACAGCTCTTTGGTCTTGGCCATAGTGGAGTTTGGAGTGTGACTGTTTGAGGTTGTGGACAGGTGTATTTTATACTGATAACAAGTTCAAACAGGTGACAATTAATACAGGTAACGAGTGGAGGACAGAGGAGCCTCTTAAAGAAGAAGTTACAGGTCTGTGAGAGCCAGAAATCTTGCTTGTTTGTAGGTGACCAAATACTTATTTTCCACCATAATTTGCAAATCAATTCATTAAAAATCCTACAATGTGATTTTCTGGATTTATTTTTTCTCATTTTGTCTGTCATAGTTGACGTGTACCTATGATGAAAATTACAGGCCTCTCATCTTTTTAAGTGGGAGAACTTGCACAATTGGTGGCTGACTAAATACTTTTTCCCCCACTGTAGAGCCATTAATGCATGGAACTCCCATCTCATATTGCTCAAATGAACAGCAAACATGGTTTAAAAAACAACAGATAAAGCAACATCTCACGGCACAATGCCTCGCCTCTATTTGACCTAGATATTGTGGGTATGTATTGATATGTAGGCTACGTGTGCCGTTTTTAAATGCATGTAGTTCTGTCCTTCAGCTGTTCTTGTCTATTAATGTTCTGTATGTCGTCATATTTCATGTGTAAGAGTAGACGCTGTTTTCACAACAATGGGGATTCTAATAAAATACCAAATACCCTCACCTGGTTGTCTAGGTCTTAATTAAGACCAAGTCACTTGGCTCTGTCATATCCTCACATGGTCTCTCCTATCATTGCTACGCAGACGACACACAATTAATTTTCTCCTTTCCCCCTTCTGATAAACAGGTGGCGAATCGCATCTCTGCATGTCTGGCAGACATGTCAGTGTGGATGTCGAATCACCACCTCAAGCTGAACCTCGGCAAGACAGAGCTGCTCTTCCTCCTGGGGAAGGACTGCCCGCTCCATGATCTCGCCATCACGGTTGACAACTCCATTGTGTCCTCCTCCCAGAGTGCAAAGAACCTTGGCGTGACCCTGGACAACACCCTGTCGTTCTTCGCTAACATCAAAGCGGTGACCCGATCCTACAGGTTCATGCTCTACAACATTTGCAGAGTACGACCCTACCTTACACAGAAAGCGGCACAGGTCCTAATCCAGGCACTTGTCATCTCCCGTCTGGATTACTGCAACTCGCTGTTGGCTGGGCTCCCTGCCTGTGCCATTAAACCCCTACAACTCATCCAGAACGCTGCAGCCCGTCTGGTGTTCAACCTTCCCAAGTTCTCTCATGTCACCCCGCTCCTCCGCACACTCCACTGGCTTCCAGTTGAGGCTCGCATCTACTACAAGACCATGGTGCTTGCCTACGGAGCTGTGAGGGGAACGGCACCTCCTTACCTTCAGGATCTGATCAGACCCTCCACCCAAACGAGGGCACTACGTTCATCCACCTCTGGCCTGCTAGCTCCCCTACCTCTATGGAAGCACAGTTCCTGCTCAGCCCAGTCAAAGCTATTCGCTGCTATGGCACCCCAATGGTGGAACAAGCTCCCCCACAACGCCAGGACAGCGGAGTCACTGATCACCTTCCGGAGACACTTGAAACCCTACCTCTTTAAGGAATACCTGGAATAGTATAAAGTAATCCTTCCAACGCTTCCCACAGTTGTGTCAAGTTGGTTGGATACCCTTTGGGTGGTGGACCATTTTTGAAAAACACAGCAGCGTTGCAGTTCTTGACAAACCGGTGCACCTGGCACCTACTACCATACCCCATTCAAAGGCACTTAAATATTTTGTCGTGCCCGTTCACCCTCTGAATGGCACTGAAATGCACAATCCATGTCACAATTGTCTCAAGGCTTAGAAATCCTTCTTTAACCGGTCTCCAACCCTTCATCTATACTGATTGAAGTGTTGACATCAATAAGGGATCATAGCTTTCACCTGGATTCACCTGGTCAGTCTGTGTCATGGAAAGAGCGGTTCATAATGTTTGGTATACTCAAGTCTATGTCTATATAGTTTCAACCACAGTAGACTGATTTAAGATTGAATACAGACATATTTTGGAACCTATTCCATATGGAACCTATTGTCACAAAATTGAATTGTAGTTGTAAACAGTATGGTATACATCTTCTCTGTACATGATTGGTAGCCATCACGGACCAAATAGTTAATCAATTATTTATGTACAGATCACGTACTGTCCCACTACAAGGGCAGTTCCACTCAACACCAAAAGTTTGTAAAGTTATTGTGCATCTGAAGATACAGGCCACTGTGATTTTATCTTCAAATCAAGGTACAAGTGTGAGGAAAATAGCCCTATATGATGGGATTCCATCTAATATAAAGTGATTTAGCATATGATTTGCTTAGAGAGCAACATACATTGCATGCAAACCTGTCTCCTCAGGACCCGCTGGAGCAGAAGCTTATGAAGGAAATATCCTTAAAATCAACCATCACACACACACCACACCAATGAAATACACACTTCTAAGACGGGGGTAGGCAACTAGATTCAGCTGCAGGATGATTTTTGTTTCGGAGTGAATGGTTGGGAGCTGGAACATAATTATAATAATTTGTACACTGCAAATTGTCCGCAACTAAGTCCAAAAAGATATTTGAAAGTAAAAATAATTTAATTGTTGATTACATTGAGACATGATCACGTCTCTTTTTTTTTTAATTCATGGGAATATTTTCACAGATTTCCTAAATTAACAGATTTTCATAAACTAAACTCATTTTTTGCTGAATTCCTATTGATTTTACAGTCTTTTCTAACCCCCCAAAAACCCTGTTCTAAGACATACTAGAACTACTCCTAATAACTTAAAGACAAATCACTTACGATTGGAAGGAGCAGGGATCCTGGATGAACGGAGACGGCTTTCATATTTCTGGAGAAAATAAAATCACACATGTAGACATTGTTCCTGACTTTAGGACTATCAACTTTCAAATGCAATACACTATGAAGCTCAAGTTCCTAGGCCCACCCCTAGAGTAGGCTTACCTTCTCTCCAGGAGTAGGTGTAGTAGCGGATTTCATGTGCTCAAAAAGCTCTTCATTCAGGGACCATAATTCATTCATTTCGAGCTAAAGGACAGGAATAGCAGCAGTATGTCAACAATCATCCGTTTCAGTTTAAAAGACTTGCAGCACATAGCATAGCTAGATCTTTGAAAGATCCAACTATTGTCATCCAGATCTCTTACACGAGTCCAAACGTATTACATGTCACTCAAACTAGTTTAAACGGGATATTCCACTCAAAGAAACATGTTAGTATTTTGTTCATTAGTCAACTGTTGATATGGTCCCAAAAAAGCATCAGTAAAGTTTAAGATCGAGCACTTTCAGTCAATTGTTCTCTGTAACATAGACAAGGCACTCTTTTGAGTCACTTACCTCCTTTCCCCTGCATACTGATTTCTCAAACCATTCAACCTTCACAGTAGATTTTGTGGAATCAACAGCTTTGACGTTTGCAGGATGCACTCGCCCTATAAACACATTCAGCCATCAGTCACATTACACCACCTGTTAGCAAGTTCACACCAATGCCTAGCTGACTAAACTCCACGGGGAAGGAAGTTGGTGGAGTTCATTAGAAACTTCCTTAACCGTAGAGTTTAGTCAGTTAATCAAACTGCAATGCCCTGCCTGGACCAGAGCTAATATTAGGTAGCTAACGTTAGTCACCCATTTCTACAAGAGGGTAACGTTAACTATACTAGTAAAAACTAACCAACGGATGGCTTCATTATTATCCTGTCCAACTAACGTTAGCAAAGTTAACTACCTAGCTAAATTTACTAAAGTATTTAGCCATCTTGTTTCTTTGTAACTACAGTAGCTAACTATTTAAGTCAGTAGGCACCTGTAATAATTACAGACTATTAGCTAGTTACTGCAAATCAACAACCACACAGGTAAGATTAGCCGTGCCGTGCGCAGTTAACGTTGTGTTGAGTAAATTCGGCTAGCTGTGTTCAACTCATTCACCTATACTATACAGTACAGTAACTGACTTAAGTATTTAAAAAAAAGTTAGTTACTGTAGCTAATACAACAAATAACATCCAAATACATAACGTACGTTCCTGTTAGCTAACTAAGAAGCGAAATCATGTGGGAGGCAAATCTAACTTGCTAACCACCTTAACGTAATGTGTATATTTGGTTGTATTGTGCAGCGCACATTTGAAAAAGAGACCTAGCCAATGTTCCCTGGTAAAATGAAGGTACAATAAATAAATAAAGTTTGCTACACAGCTTACCATCGCTTCTTTGGATGTTGACTGAAAGCCCAACAAGAAGGTTCGTCATAATTGAATCCATGTTTATTCGTGTGCTCACTTGACACTCTTAAAAAGTTATCAAAACCCAGTCAACCGCCAAAAGTTTGAAAGTTGTCTGACGTCACCGGAAGAAGTAGAAAAGGCGATGCTCATTGGTCGGGGGCAAGGATGTTTAGTTTTAGGCTAGTTTATTACCTAATTCGACAATTTGAAAAACAAGCACACATAAAACTTTAAAAAGACACCCATGTACGTGACACAATAAAGTCTGGGACGTATTTCCATTGTGGTCCTCTTGTGACAAGATCGCTCGGCAAGATTGGCAACACGGTTGTAACGTAAACGTCGTCATGGCTAGAAGGACTCTACACTAGCTTTTGTCAAATTAATGTCAGATTGGAATTTTCGTAGCAGATCAGGAGAATTGATGCAGCACAGGCAGGTTAGGATACTTAACATAGCAGGTTAGGATAATTAGGAAAAGGGTTAGGGTTAACTAAAATGCAACTAAAATGTTTGACTTTAATTTGACAAAAGCTGGATCCCTTCCAGCCATGACCTAGTATGGTAGTAAAATATTTACAAAACATAAAAACAAATATAATAAAAACATCTATTACATTATTGCAGTTACCTGCGCAGTTGTCGTATCCATTTGAAGAAGTATGTGGTAATCTTTTATTTTGTACATTTAATAGAAACCATTCACTTGAACTTATGTCGTTTCTGACATTGTGACATATTGCTTGCATTTCCCATTTAAAATATGGGTGTATGATGCAATGACATACATAACCACAGTATGGCAGTAGCTAGCTACCCGTTTGGAACCTCTGTAGCTACCGGCCAGCTGCATGAAAGGTTTTTTTGGAACCTCTGAAATGACAAATGACCGTATACAGTATGATCCGCCACTTCTCACAATGGTGCATGGTGCTCGTTTAGGAAAGTTAGATCAAAGCTGAATCAGTCTTGGAAGATCACATAATGATTCATTAGTGTTCAACATAACATAAAAACACCACCTAATTTCTTATGAGTCCCCAAAAATTATCATGTGGCCAAAACTGCCAATTGTTTTATTCATGTAGGCTACACTGTCCCGCGAATGTCCCGCAATAACATCCTGTTGTCCTGCATTTTTATATTTTAAATGTGGTCACCCTAATAAATTATATGACTCAAATCAAATTCAACAATGTCTTACTGTGACTCATTATGTTATTTAGTGTAATCAAAGATTTGATCTTGACACCTTCCACCTTTTATTTAGATGCCCAGCCAGCCCCCCAAGATGTTCCTGGGACCTGCCTGAGGACATCATTACCTTGTTCAGTGTGGATGGAGATTAAGTCACACCATTTTAGGGGAAGATCAATAGTTACTTTATCTGCAATTTAACCCAGATTCTGTGGGAAAATAAAGTCATTGGACAATATGGTAAAAAACTGTGCCACAGTTTGCTCTTTAATTTGTGGGTGGCTTTGAAAAGGCTAAATGAGTCATTCGGTTTCGCATTAGGTCTAAAAAGTGTTTAAACTGAATTGCTAATACAGAATGGCCAGGTTACAGACCATGAAAATATATTTCCCCTCAGTTCAACTAATGGATGATAACCTAATGAGTCTAGAGTATAGGTAGATTAGACTCAGTCACAACATAGTCTGGCCAGAATAGACATATGGTGGCCAACAATACAAAACAATAGGCACATAATTCAAAAGTAAAAAATAAAGAAATTAAGAAATATAAAAACAAGCAATGTCAGAGTCTATCGTTCAAAAGTTTGGGGTCACTTAGAAATGTCCTTGTTTTCCATGAAAACATACATTAAATGAGTTTGAATAGGAAATATAGCAAAATGAATAGGAAATGTAGTCATTGACAAGGTTAGAAATAATGATTTTTAATTGAAATAATAATTGTGTCCTTCAAACTTTGCTTTCGACAAAGAATCCTCAATTTGCAGCAATTTTAGCCTTGCAGACCTTTGGCATTCTAGTTGTCAATTTGTTGAGGTAATCTGAAGAGATTTCACCCCATGCTTCCTGAAGCACCTCCCACAAGTTGGATTGGCTTGATGGGCACTTCTTACGTACCATACGGTCAAGCTGCTCCCACAACAGCTCAATAGGGTTGAGATCCGGTGACTGTGCTGGCCACTCCATTATAGACAGAATACCAGCTGACTGCTTCTTCCCTAAATAGTTCTTGCATAGTTTGGAGCTGTGCTTTGGGTCATTGTCCTGTTGTAGGAGGAAATTGGCTCCAATCAAGCGTCGTCTACAGGGTATGGGATGGCGTTGCAAAATGGAGTGATAGCCTTCATTCTTCAATATCCATTTTACCCTGTACAAATCTCCCACTTTAGCACCACCATAGCACCCCCAGACCATCACATTGCCTCCACCATGCTTGACAGATGGCATCAAGCACTCCTCCAGCATCTTTTCATTTGGTCTGCGTCTCACAAATGTTCTTCTTTGTGATCCGAACACCTCAAACTTCGATTCGTCTGTCCATAACACTTTTTTCCAATCTTCCTCTGTCCAGTGGCTGTGTTCTTTTGCCCATCTTAATCTTTTATTTTTATTGGCCAGTCTGAGATATGGCTTTTTCTTTGCAACTCTGCCTAGAAGGTCAGCATCCCGGAGTCGCCTCTTCACTGTTGATGTTGAGACTGGTGTTTTGCGGGTACTATTTAATGAAGCTGCCAGTTAAGGACCTGTGAGGCGTCTGTTTCTCAAACTAGACACTCGAATGTATTTGTCCTCTTGCTCAGTTGTGCACCGGGGCCTCCCACTCCAATTTCTATTCTGGTTAGATCCAGTTTGCGCTGTTCTGTGAAGGGAGTAGTACACAGCGTTGTACGAGATCTTCAGTTTCTTGGCAATTTCTCGCATGGAATAGCCTTCATTTCTCAGAACAAGAATAGACTAACGAGTTTCAGAAGAAAGTTATTTGTTTCTGGCCATTTTGAGCCTGTAATCGAACCCACAATTGCTGATGCTCCAGATACTCAACTAGTCTCAAGAAGACCAGTTTTATTGCTTCTTTAATCAGCACAACAGTTTTCAGCTGTGCTAACATAATTGCAAAAGGGTTTGCTAATGATCAATTAGCCTTTTAAAATGATAAACTTGGATTAGCAAACACAACGTGCCATTGGAACACAGGACTGATGGTTGCTGATAATGGGCCTCTGTACGCCTATGTAGATATTCCATAAAAAATCAGCCGTTTCCAGCTACAATAGCCATTTACAACATTAACAATGTCTACACTGTATTTCTGTGCGAATGTTTTTCAGCCAATGGACTGGGAGACTAGTCAGGATCGAGGGAAAGATGAACGGAGCAAAGTACAGAGATATCCTTAATGAAAACCTGCTACATAGTGCTCAGGACCTCAGACTGGGGCAAAGGTTCACCTTCCAACAGGACAACGACCCTAAGCACACAGCCAACACAACCGAGGAGTGGCTTCGTGTCACGACTGTGTGTGAGATGCGGTAAACGAAGTCAGGCGCAGGACACAGAACTCTCGGATACGTACTTTTAATACAAAAAGGATCCAAAAGGACACAGAAAATAACTCCACGCAGGGAGGAAATAACCCGCTCACAAAATAGACAACCGTGAAGGGGAAAACAATCACACACAAAGTACAGATGAGAGACAGGGGTAATTATAAGGGAAACAATTAACATAATGACAAACAGGTGTAAACAATACAGACAAAACTAAACAAACACCAATAACATCGAACGGCAGTAGCTAGTACTCCGGGGACGACGAACGCCGAAGCCTGCCCGAGCAAGGAGGAGGAGCAGCCTCGGCAGAATCCGTGACACTTCGGAACAAGTCTCTGAATGTCCTTGATTGGCTCAGCCAGAGCCTGGACTTGAACCTGATCTAACATCTCAGGAGAGACCTGAAAATAGCTATGAAGCGACGATCCCCATCCAACCTGACAGAGCTTGAGAGGATCTGCAGTGAAGAATGGTGTGCCAAGTTTGTAGCATAATACCCAAGAAGACTCGAGGCTGCTAAAGGTGCTCCAACAAAGTACTGAGTAAAGGGTCTGAATACTTATGTAAATGTAATATATTTAAGTTTTTTTTATATTTTATAAATTTGCACAAATTTATAAAAACCTGTTTTTGTTTTGTCAATATGGGGTATCGTGTGTAGATTGATGAGGGGGGAAAAACAGTTTAATCCATTTTAGAATAAGTCTGTAACGTAACAAAATGTGGAAAAGGTCAAGGGGTCTGAATACTTTACGAATGCACTGTACATGTTGCATTTATATGTGTATATTTTTGTTCACTATATATATACACAGTATATATACTGTATATATATATATAAACAAATTAAAATATATTTTATATTTGAGATTCTTCAAATAGCCACCCTTTGCCTTGATGACAGCTTTGCACACTCTTGGCAATCTCTCAACCAGCTTCACCTGGAATGCTTTTCCAACAGTCTTGAAGTAGTTCCCACATATGCTGAGCACTTGTTGGCTGCTTTTCCTTCACTCTGCCGTCCGACTCATCCCAAACCATCTCAATTGGGTTGAGGTCGGAGGATTGTGGAGGCCAGGTCATCTGATGCGGCACTCCATCACTCTCCTTCTTGGTAAAATAGCCCTTACACAGCCTGGAGGTGTGTTGGGTCATTGTCCTGTTGAAAAACAAATGATAGTCCCACTAAGCCCAAACCAGATGGGATGTTGTATCGCTGCAGAATGCTGTGGTAGCCATGCTGGTTAAGTGTAATCACAGACAGTGTCACCAACGAAGCGCCCCCACACCATAACACCTCCTCCTCCATGCTTTACGGTGGGAACTACACATGCGGAGATCATCCTTTCACCCACACCGCATCTCACAAAGACATGGCGGTTTGAGCCAAAAATCTCCAAATTGGACTCTAGACCAAAGGACACATTTCCACCGGTCTGATGTCCATTGCTTGTGTTTCTTGGCCCAAGCAGGTCTCTTCTTATTATTGGTGTCCTTTAGTAGTGGTTTCTTTGCAGCAATTCGACCATGAAGGCCTGATTCACACAGTCCCCTCTGAACAGTTGATGTTGAGATGTGTCTGTTACTTGAACTCTGTGAAGCATTTATTTGGGCTGCAAT